AAATCGTGAGGTTCAGTGCTTGTGGTCATACAAGGAAGCAATCCACAAAAAAGCATACCATAGTTATCCTGGTATCTGCTGAGAGATACTGTGTGGGAGGAGTGTCTGTGATATCCTGTGGGAATTTCTGTCTCCTCACACTCAAAGGGTGAGACTCTACGTTCTAAATTGAACATCCCTCGAGATTCCTGGTTGCTCCAATACAGGTCTCAACCCCATTAGTTCATATCACAGCTTGACTAAACTACCAATTTGTCTATGTGTTTGTGTGTGTGGCCACTGAGCCTTAGAAAGAAATCTAACAAAATGAAAATCTATCTGAATGTTGTATCCTTTCCTGCTGTTCCTCTCTGATGCTGTGCATCTCAAATTAGCAGATATTCTCCTCTTCAGTGCAAATGTTTACTGTTAATTCAACCGAATCCTTCACACCAGACTGATTACAGAAAAACAGATGCTATGGCCATAAGAGGAGGAATAATTACGTGATGACTTGCTAAAGACTTTAAAACTGTAAATATCACTTTAAAATGAAGTACATATGCAGTTTGAGTGATTTAAATTGAGAATATTTACACGTCTCCCTGTGATTCAGATAACAGCTACTGTGGCAGATGGGTTGTTGCATTTAGGACCCCATGCAGGGTTGTTATTTCTATTTAGCCATTTCACAGCATATAACATCTAAAATATAATATGATATAAATCTTCGCAGTCTACTGTGGGTGCTTGGAGTGTAGTAGAATAACAGAGAGTTACAGACTGGGATGGACATTTTTACGGAGTGGTGCAAGCAGAACTGTCTTGACCTCAACCCCTCTAAAACAAAGGAACTGGTTGTTGACTTCCACAAAGATGTTTCCATCATCCCCATTTTGTTATTCAACAACCAGCCAATAGACAGGGTTGAATCATACAGATACCTGGGGACAATAATTGATCACAAACTTACCTTCCAACCAAACATTTTCTTCGAGTGTCAGCAGCGCCTCTTTTTCTTAAGGAAACTCCGCAGACTTCAGGTTCACCAGTCAGTCCTGATAGCTTTTTACAAATGCTTCATTGAATCTGTAATAACCTTCCATATATCAGCCTGGTTTGGATCACTATCAAACATCAATTGCAACACGCTAACTAAAATCACAACAATGAGCTTTATTGCCAAAACATGCGTTACCCTGAAGATGGGGTTTTTGGATTAAAGAGCAGACGACAGAAAAGAGAGCTAGGAGAGGAGCCATGCTGGCCCAGCTTGGACTTAATTCTGCTCCTAAAGATCCGGTCTGGACCAAGGTTATTATAGTTTTGGATTTTTCATTAGTTTTTATTTTTATTTCATTTTGACTTTTTGTTTTCAATTTCAGTTTAGTTTTAAGTAGTTTTTAATGTGGGTTTGCTAGTTTAGTTTTTATTTTTGGAAAATGCTTAGTTTTAGTTTCGATTTTTCACAAAACATTAAAATTCAAGTACAATCAGACATATTTGTGAAAAGGGACACATTTTTTAAGGTATCTGAAGCTTGCACATAGGGGCCCAATCACTAAGCAAATATATATATATATATATATATATATACTTATTTTGAAGTACTGACACATTGTCTAAATAAATGCTCAAATAAATGAAACGCATGCAATCTGCAGTATAATTTCTAACCTACATACAGAAAACCCTAATGCCACATTCAGACCAACCGCGAATTTTCGCCTCGCAACGCTTTCCTCGCATGAGTACATTTGCTGCAAGTATTCACACACAACGCGAGAAAGGGATTTTAATACGATAACGTGAACACAACTCGCCTTTACTACTAACTGCATGAACCCAAAGTAAACATTTTGCTGTGATTAAATAGCAATAAACGGATTAAACTGATGCTGAAATAACTGCAATATGATGCGGTTTTGTTAAACATATGAATTCATGCTTTGTCAGGTCTGTCAGCAAGACAGCAGGACAACAACTTCCAAAATGTTTGTTTTCTGAATGGAGTTTGGATCGATCAGGGCTCTGCTATACTAACTTGGTCACAGTAAAGTACAATGATAGCTGGAATTTACTCCGAGCTCCTCCCGCGAGTAAACGGCGTAGTTGTCAGAGCAGAATCCGACCGACTACGGGGGTTTATTTGTCCAATGTTTGCAGCGCTGCTCCCTGCTCCTCTCCCCCATGTTTAGCAGCTCTCAGCCGTCCAGCAGATTTTCAATCCCCCACTCTGCCTGGTCCTCTCCACACAATGCTCTGAAGCCTCGGTGACGTACGGACAATCTCAACACTGTTGAAAATATTCAACTCGCGCAAATTCCTTCGCGTCGCTGGCCCCGCCCCCTTCGTGTCGCTTCACGCTGCCCGACAGGAAATTGCGGTTCTGCACGTCTTTGCATGGACTTTGTATGTAAACTTACCGCCCCGAACGCTCGCTTCGCTTTTGGTCTGAAAGCACCATAAGAGCAAACTACCCTAATCCTACTACCCAGTGGTCCCAAGAAGTTCATTACAGAAGTCTCTAGCTCTATCATTCTTACATAGGTGAAATACAATTAATGGACAGCTAAGCTAAGAAATTGGCTGGTTGGCTGAGATATCAATGACCCCATAAAACACACACTAGCTGACATGCAGTAAATATGATGACCAGCAGACAAGTTAACCCAGCGACTACTAGTGACTCACTAAGTTACCTGCAACCAAAACTAAACAAAATACAACTCTATACAGTTGTTGCATTCATATTATTATGTACACGTGTATGTATAAAAAAACACCTATGCAGCCGATCCCTGCCTGGGTCTCCCTGACTAAGTTAGCCTCCCCCTAACGTTACATGGGGCTCTCCTCCTAACAGTGGTCACCACCTGCTACGCTGTGGCCAGACACCACCCTGACTCTGGCTCTCTTGACGGACACGCAGCGTGCCAGCTCTTCACGCGGAGGACAAAAGCATTACACACCCGTGGCTCACAAACAGGTTCCTGTCGGCTAATCACCGTGCACCCTTGAACTGCCGGTCCAGCCCATAGGTCCGGCCAGACCAACTGCCCCGCAACGTTAGTTCGGCTTCATATCCACTTGAAATGTAGACGTATTAGGTCCTATAAAATAAATAAACGAAAACTGAGGACATTTATTCTTTCATTTTAGTTACTTTTAGATAGTTTTTCAAACCTACAACACAGTTTTAGTTTATCGTTTTTTTGTAAAGCATCGTTTTTATTTTTATTTCAGTCTGAAAATGTTTTTTCACGTCTTGTTTTCGTTATTTCGTTCGTCTTCGTTAACAATTATAACCTTGGTCTGGACAAAATGGGACCAGACAACGGAATTCAGAGACTGCTGTGCCTACTTCGTTACAGAGACCTGCCCCATCAACATCCCGGATCAGCAAGATGAGAGGAAGTGGACTCTGTGTTTTACATAGATGATGCTTGGTGCTCAAACGCAGTCAAGATGGACTCTTTTTTCCAAGTGTCAGACTGTTTATTGGGAAGATGAAACTTTTTTATTATCATCTGTTTGCTGCTGTTTATATTCACCCCAGATGCAAATTCAAAAAATGCACTGTGAAATGTTCAGGTTTATACGTGTATGTGTATATAGATATAAATAACTGTATATATTGTTTTATTTTATTTTATATGTTACCATATTTTAATATAGGCCTTCACTTAATTATATGTTGTGTGTGTAGCATGACGAAACTACGAATTTCATTTCGTTATGCAGCCTTGTGCTGTATAATGACTAATAAAAAACCTTATACCTTGTAAAATAATCGGACAGGTGCAGGAACCACTTATCAGCATTTACAACAGGAGGACTAAACTAAAAGGAACACAAATAGCCTCAGACACCATTCACACACTGCATAGCCACTACAGTTTTCTACCGTCAGGCCAGAGATACAGATCACTCACATTCAGGACTAAGAGAGCCTTGACAAGTTTTTTGCCCACGTCCATTAGAAACATGAAAGGTTGATTAACTTATTCATCTATGTGTATGTCCGTGTGTGTGCGGATTGGTGATTTATTTAATTTATTATTTATCTATTTTTAACACAATCTTTTTAATGTTTACTGCCAATGTATCATTTATTTTGTACTTTACTTTAGTAAAGCTTTACTGACTTATTTATTTACTTAGAACTGTTTATTACTTATATGTAATGTGTATGTGTGGTATATTGTGCTGTGTTTGTGGAACTGTACACGCACTGATGCTCAGCACGAATGAAGTTCCTAATGGATAAATAAAGTTCTTTGAATTTGACTTTGAATTTGAAGAGTTTCTATCTTACTTTCATCCATTTTCTTTACCTGTCAGTCCTGTTCAAGCTGTCAATGGATTGGATCCATTGGTCAACCTCATGGGCAGGTCACCAGTCAATCACAGGGCCGCATTCATATCGAAGTTACTGTAATTACCAGTTTATTTGTTTATTGAATGATAATTTGTGTATGTGTGTGTGCACGTACGTGTACATTGTGGTGGGTAGAGAGGCAGAGGGGAAAGAGAAGGAACACAGCGTGTCCGCACAAATTCTCCTCATAATCAAAGAAACTCTGGGTCCTCCACAGCCGCGTTTGTCACTCACTGTGTACCTTTAATGAACTGCTCATAGCCTGAAACCTCATTAGCTATCTGACGACAGGGAACAAACGATCCAGACAGAGACGAGGAGAGGAATTTGTTGTGTCTCTTTCATTGAAGGTAGAAAGACAGGGAACATTCAGGGATGTGCCTTTGCTTTTGGCTGCTTGATTGGAGTAAACACCATCATCTTCATAACAGCATTCCTGTAAACATTCTAATCCACGGAAAAATGTTCCTAACCAAAATAAGACCCCTTAAAAAGAGATGTAGTTGCCGTAATTATGTACTTTTAAAGATGCCCTATTTTCTGTGTATGTGCAAACCAGGAATATTTTCTTATATGAATGCATAATAAGTGGGCACACAGTAGAGGCCTAATAACATGATAACCTCTATTCCCTTTACAGATCTGTGACAAAGAATGGCACTATTATGTGATCAACGTGGAATTTCCTGCAGTGACACTATTTGTTGATGGTGTGACCTATGAACCCTACCTGGTGACGGATGACTGGCCGATTCACACCTCAAAGATTGATACACAGCTTACTGTGGGCGCCTGCTGGCAAGGTCAGTGTGTGTGTCTAAAAATATACAGTAGCTTTAGAGTAATGCAGAAATTTCTCCATTGTAATAAAGCCACTGAAATCAGACCCATATGAGACGCAACTGCTATTACATTGTGTTGTTGGGATTGTTTACAGCTATACTATAATGTGACAGTTTTATATGCAGCTGCCTTTTTCAGCTTGAGGTTATGAGGTTGTGCCTATTTTCTCCACATAAAATGAAGAAATCAGTTATTTATAGCCCTATTTTTTTCTACAAAAAGAAGCCACATCAGGCTAAAAACAGTAACTGTATTGTAAATGCTTGTTGTGAAACCAAATAAACTAAGTATAAAATAATAACAAATAAATACTCCAGAGGGCCTAATTGGCTACATCTATTTTGTTTAAATATAAAACAGTGCTATAATTTTCCAATATAACCTAAATGTGAACCACTTGTTCTTTTCAACAAAGTAAACTAAAGCATTGTATTTAGACCTGTCCAAGTATTTTGATCAGAAACAATACTGAATATGGAAAAGAATTAATACGCTCAGAAACAGATAAAAAATGCATACAGTATACTATTTATATATTGTCAGTTTTTCCTAATATGCAAAGGGAAACAACCTAGAAAAGGATGGCAACATATGGCAAAAATAGAGAAACGGCACCAACAAAGTAGAACAGCAGCTAAAAGATGTTGAAAACTATACTTGAAGCACAGAGAGAGAAAAAAGCACGAGTCTTACTGTTAAGATAAATAAAGAGATTAAGATTTATGCCTGGGGGCTGTGAATATTTCTTCTTTGAAATGGAAAGGCACTAACCAAGTGGATATCACACAGGAAATTCTGCGTGTCAGTTCCAGCGGCAGGGAACGAGGGCGGGTAGCGATCACACTGGAATGAATAAGAGCTACCCTGCTGCCATGTTTATGACTTGAATAATTATACAAAAGTGCTTTAGAGGAGGGCAGAATGAGACACTAGTGATCCGTTATGCAGCTTGCCTAAATCACGCCAGCATCATCCAAAGCTTCAATCCTGATGGCATTTTGGTTGCCGTTTAAATTTCTTTTCATCCTGCGGCTGATTGCAATTTTCTTTTTGTCGTCATCATTTTCTTCCTTGCTTCCTACAGCCCTCTCTTTCTGCCTCTTTCCATGAATCTCTGATTGTGAGAGAATGCCCTGAAGGAAGGATTAGCTAGAGTGAATGGAGGACAACTTTGCCAGCTATTACATCCCAATGAAGCCGCTTTAAGCTTCACTAAGCCGCAACTGATAACTTTGCAGGCCATTAGCGAGCAAGATTGCCTTTCAGCCTCTCATTTCTCCATACCCTTTTCCCCACAATCAACAACATAATGATGAGACATGAAAGGCATTCAGACTGTACTTTCAGTGCCCTGAAAGCAAAAAAGAAGACATGTGTTGTCGCCATAAAAGGTTAACAAGAAAATGGTTTGGTTATTTTGGAGTGGGGGGGGGGGGTTATCAGATTTCTGTAACAGCAAGCTGTTCTTGAGTTTGGATGGGAAATGTGTGTTTGTCATCTCATTTCATGTGCAACAGGAAAGTGGGTGTGAAATTTCAAAGCAACCCTCACAGTAACTAACGAAGCACACAGTTGACATCAAGAGCCTTGGGGATTTTACAATGATAATAAAAGGCGTCAGTCAACATATACCATCAGTAAGGTTTTAAATAATTGGTAACTACAGTAGAAGCAGAGTGTGCTACTTTTTTGCATTATTTTAGCACAATGTGAAACTAGAAAAGATCTGAAATAAGTAAGAAAAAAATGCAAGGTGAAGCTCCTGGAATCAGTTGCCTGAAAATCGAAGGGAACCACAATGACAAGGTGTGTTACAGCCTTTAGACAAAGAAAATATTTTCCACGTTTTAATTTCTGCTCATTTTGACAACATCAGCCCAAGGAGTGCAAATGTGCAACATTTTTCAGCATTGATATGATTTTTCAGAGAAATGAAGAAGGAGACTAAAGGGCAGAATAATGCCGAATATTTCAACATTTTAAGAGAAAGGGAGGTGATGGATACTTTCATATTTTTTCACACTGCCATTAACTTACTGTCATCACAAAAACACAATGTTTACTATGGCTGTTCCTAATGCATGGGCAGGTATAAAGACTAAGAATATGAACTAATAAAATATTTTTAGTTCTTGCAGTATGTGGTTGTGCCACTTAAGAGCACACAGTGTCTGATGGACACAGAGGGAACAAAGTTAGATTGTTAGCTATTGTTAGTTGTTTTATTAAAAAAAAACCCCAAAGAGGTCTTTTTATGTTTGCAAGTTTGACATTAGACAAATTCATACATAATAAAAAAGTTCTGACAAATTTACTCGAAGGTTGCCCTCTGGGGCTGCCACATCATCTTGTATGCGTGAGATGTAGTACTACAGTGGGTACGGAAAGTATTCAGACCCCTTTAAATTTTTCACTCTTTGTTTCATTGCAGCCATTTTCCAAAAATCAAAAAAGTTCATTTTATTTCTCAGTAATGTACACTCAGCACCCCATCTTGACAGAAAAAAACAGAAATGTAGAAATTTTTGCAAATTTATTAAAAAAGAAAAACTAAAATATCACATGGTCATAAGTATTCAGACCCTTTGCTCAGTATTTAGTAGAAGCACCCTTTTGATCTAATACAGCCATGAGTCGTTTTGGGAAAGATGCAACAAGTTTTTCACATCTGGATTTGGGTATCCTCTGCCATTCCTCCTTGCAGATCCTCTCCAGTTCTGTCAGGTTGGATGGTAAACGTTGGTGGACAGCCATTTTCAGGTCTCTCCAGAGATGCTCAATTGGGTTTAAGTCAGAGCTCTGGCTGGGCCATTCAAGAACAGCCACGGAGTTGTTTTGAAGCCACTCCTTCGTTATTTTAGCGGTGTGCTTAGGGTCATTGTCTTGTTGGAAGGTAAACCTTCGGCCCAGTCTGAGGTCCAGAGCACTCTGGAAAAGGTTTTCGTCCAGGATATCCCTGTACTTGGCCGCATTCATCTTTCCCTCGATTGCAACCAGTCGTCCTGTTGCCACCACCATGCTTCACTGTTGAGACTGTATTGGACAGGTGATGAGCAGTGCCTGGTTTTTTCCACACATACCGCTTAGAATTAAGGCCAAAAAGTTCTATCTTGGTCTCATCAGACCAGAGGATCTTATTTATCACCATCTTGGAGTCCTTCAGGTGTTTTTTAGCAAACTCCATGCAGGCTTTCATGTGTCTTGCACTGAGGAGACGCTTCCGTCGGGCCACTCTGCCATAAAGCCCTGACTGGTGGATTGCTGCAGTGATGGTTGACTTACTACAACTTTCTCCCATCTCCCGACTGCATCTCTGGAGCTCAGCCACAGTGACCTTTGGGTTCTTCTTTACCTCTCTCACCAAGGCTCTTCTCCCCCGATAGCTCAGTTTGGCCGGACGGCCAGCTCTAGGAAGGGTTCTGGTCGTCCCAAACGTCTTCCATTTGAGGATTATGGAGGCCACTGTGCTCTTAGGAACCTTAAGTGCAGCAGAAATTTTTTTGTAACCTTGGCCAGATCTGTGCCTTGCCACAATTCTGTCTCTGAGCTCTTCAGGCAGTTCCTTTGACCTCATGATTCTCATTTGCTCTGACATGCACTGTGAGCTGTAAGGTCTTATATAGACAGGTGTGTGGCTTTCCTAATCAAGTCCAATCAGTATAATCAAACACAGCTGGACTCAAATGAAGGTGTAGAACCATCTCAAGGATGATCAGAAGAAATAGACAGCACCTGAGTTAAATATGAGTGTCACGGCAAAGGGTCTGAATACTTATGACCGTGTGATATTTCAGTTTTTCTTTTTTAATAAATTTGCAAAAATTTTTACATTTCAGTTTTTTTCTGTCAAGATGGGGTGCTGAGTGTATATTACTGAGAAATAAAATGAACTTTTTTGATTTTTGGAAAATGGCTGCAATGAAACAAAGAGTGAAAAATTTAAAGGGGTCTGAATACTTTCCCACTGTATATTAAAGTAACTTACTAAGATGCAACCACAACATTTTAGAAGTCAGTTATAAACAAAGCTCAACAATACACTTTTTTATGTATTGTGTTAATTTGTATTTTATTGTGACCTAGTTGTGAAACATCAGAGAACAGTCATGATCTGTGAAATGGGGGCGACAAAAGTCACAATGACTTGTAGCCATACTGTTAACACCTGTTTGTTTTTGGACTTGAGGCTTAGCTGAACCTGCATACATACACAGAACAACACCAATGTCACAAAGATCATGGGTTGATTGGGTGCCCAAGTTGGGAACAAGGATAGAAGATTGCCGTTTAGAAGCATACCAGATGATTTAATGTTGTTTTCACGATTATTGCAAATTGCATGCTGTTGGTCCTAATGGTTCTTGAACATGCACTGCATCCTAAAACTACACTATTGTTCATTTGCATCATCAGTGTCCACCCACTGCACCTCAGAGCTCTAGATAAACATATAACAGTGGACTGGTGCTCTTATTAAAATGAGAGGGGTGATCTAAGACCACAATCAAAACAATACTAATGTAACTTGTGGTTGTTTTTATTGTGGTGTTGGCAGCTTAACTTTCTTCTTCTCTTCTACAGATATTAAATAAAAAATTCTCTAGTTATAAATATCAACTCTTACTCTCAATATGTGATTTTTAAAGCTGTAGGAGAATAATTCCACTTTTTGTTAAATGTACGGTGTATGTATGTCTCCTGTTGCCTAGCATGCTGAAGGCAGTTGTGCAGTGTCTCTGTGACAGGTTTTGTCTCTCAGCTCTACATGTATACACCCCTGTATGATTCACATTGACAGAGCTGAGAGAGTAGATGCCTCCAGCCTCTTGCTGGCTGGCTGGTAGCTGCTGTTCAGAATAATCTGCTGTTACTGTCTACCGTTCCCCGGGGCCTCGTTGTACAGAATAGTTCAGGACAACGAGAACATCCAGTAACAGTAAGTGGGTTAGTAGCCTCAAACAACAAAATGATTTAGTCAACACTCAGGCACTTTGACAAACACATTTTGCTACAGCAGGTTGAAATATAGTTAGTTCAGGAAAATGAATAATAATGGAAACATGTTTGACAAAGACCTGGAGTAATAATGTAATCAAATAAACCTCATTATTGGTGATAAATGGGATATATTACAAGTGAAAATTAAATAAAACTACAATATAGCAAACAAATATTTTATTTTGTTTAAGCTTAATTTGATTATTATGAAACATTGTTTTTATTTTTGTTAAAATATTGTTATTGTTATTAAAAGATTTTTTTCAAATAAATGATTTCAGCTAACACAAAAGCACAATCAGTATACTATTTAAATTTCAAAAAGGCATCTTAAATCTGGCTAAACAACATGTTAATGAGTAATTAGCTGTTTCCCAGGAGCTCATATTACTTTTCTTTGACATATTTGTATTACTGATGCAGTATAGAGTATAAATACAGGCTGAGGTGCATTCACTTCTGGTGTTATTTGCATTAATAAGACTCACCCTTTGTTGAACTGTGGGAACATGTGTTAGCCACAGCTGACTTGGAAGTAATTTGTGTTAAGTGAACTAGACCTATATGATTTGGTAAAAATTACACACTTCATCAGAAGTGGCGTAATTGCACCACTGGGCAGAGCTGGCCTTTTCTACGGGAAAATCTAGTGCTATGTATGAACAGTACACTCTTAAGAAGATGTCAGGGTTTGCCTGAATTTTTGATGGAGCTGACCCCACAGACTGCTCATACACACAGACAGAATGTGTTGGCCTTCACTAGAGATTCCATTAATTTTGCATGAAGGGATGTATTTCTCTCTCACTTTCTCTGTGGCAGTTGCAGAACACTTCAGATCAAGCATGCATTACGTCTGTCAAACTTGTGCATCAAATTCGATGCTGAAATATCTGCAGCTGTGCCAGGTATTGCAAGTGTATCATACATCATTTGTTTGAGTATTACAGACTTGTGTCGCTTGTGTAAGGCCACCTATCCTTAGGTAGCATTTTGTTTTAATTCAACAATATTACACAGTTGTTGCCACCTGCCACCCACATATTTAGTGTAGGTGTAGTCACACAGGAAGCATAATCTGGAGATGTGATTTTGAGTATTTTCGGCATGGTTTTTTCTCCATTTTTAGTTAGTTGTCGTCTATACTAAGACGTTTAACATTCCCACCCTAAAATAACAATGTCAATGTAATTCAATTACATTTACTTCCTGTCCAAACTAGTGTCACTTTCGCATGCTTTTTTTCTTTTCTCCGTTGTAGACTTGGGGGAAAATAACCCCTAAATTCTTCATAGCTCGCTATCCATTGGGTCTTGTAAGCCTTTTTTGAAGCAGATTCATAGATGTTTTTTTCAGCAAACTGTGTGTGCTTTTCCCATGGAAACATACATAATACATATTGTTGTCTCTTTTATCCTGTAAGGGCTCAGTAAAAACAGATTTGGACCAAAAAGTATGACTCTGAGACTTGGCCGGTAAAATAAAAAGTTCAAGTTTACTTAAGGTTGAAAACAGGTAAAAGTCAAAAGCAGGAAGGCAGGGGATAAAGAAAACGTATTCAATGGGGGATCAGGCTAGAGAGCAGGAGTCCAAAAGGCAGAGAAGAGGTTATAACAGGTAAATAAAATGTCTCGAACATGAAGGCAGAATCATAATAGGTGATCTGGCAGGGAATGAATGAAAGTGGGCAGGTATATATGCTACTAGGCTGATAAGGAAGTGGAAACAGGGGTTTCTGCAGGGCAGGTGGGTGTGGCAGAATCTCAAATGACTGGAGAGTACATGGCAGGGGGATAAAAGGAGACAAGGAAAATGTGATACTAGGAATTGGCTGACATTGTGACATAACCAATCTGCTCCACTTCTCACTTCCCCTCTCCTGTTATCAACTTCTGTCCTTAACCCTCTCACATCTCACTTCTCCACTTTTCCTCTTCTCCTCTCCCATTAGGTGGTGAGGTCGCAACCCCGAGGTTCACCCAGTATTTCCATGGCAGCCTGTCAGGTCTGACAATCCGACCAGGCCGCATTGAAACCCAGAAAGTTATCTCCTGTTTGCAGGCCTGCAAAGAAGGCCTGGATATTAACTCCCTTGAAAGCCTCGCTAAGGATATCAAGGTGCGTGGGGAAAATGGAGACCGTGAGACCCTGTTCAGGATTCATCTGTACTTTTAAGCAGTACAGGCTGATGTTTTTCATCTAAAAGTATCATTTGCTAAGATGCTATCCTATAACACGCATCCTTTGATATTAAAGAGAGTCCAATATAACTCAGTGTATGTACTTGCATTTTCTCATCAAGCCAAGACAGAAATAATGTCATTGAGTTGAATCACAGTGTTTGAATCTGCATCTCTGAAAGTGTATATGAGGACAAATAATGTTTGTTTGTGTGTCCAGTTCCATTTTAACCCCGCTCAGTCTGTGCTGGTGGTGGAAGGAGAGGATCTGGACAGCATCAACACAGCCATGACCAAAGTCTCATACATTAACTCTCGCCAGTTCCCTACGCCAGGCCTCCGGCGGCTACACATCACCACCACAGTACAGTAAGTGCACATGTATTTGCGGGATGCATTTTCACGCACTCTTTGGCTTTTTTCTGCCCAGTTCAGTCGCCGCACCGTCTGGAGCGGTTGTGAGTTTATGACTTGGCTCTCAAGAGCACATCTGAAACCTTTCTCTTTGCTGTTTACCACCTCAGAAGGTGGTCCTGTTTCTGTTATGTTTAAACCAGATTCAGATACCTCTGCTTCACATTGTGTGTGTGTGTGTGTGTGTGTGTGTGTGTGTGTGTGTGTGTGTGTGTGTGTGTGTGTGTGTGTGTGTGTGTGTGTCATCTTGTGGCTTTATTTGCATATTTAGGTTAACCTGACTAAAGTAGGTTATGTCTGTGAGGTATTTCATTACATATTAATGGGCAGGTACAGACAATATGACTCTTGTGTATGTCACCCTGCATTAGCTAGCATTAGAGAATTCAATATATCCTTTACTTTATACATTCAGTGGGTCGCTGGGAGACCTGTTTGATGTGCACAGTGGCTACACATTTAATGTTTCATGGAGGTCCATGTTTGATTTCTTCCCCTTTTGTGTTTGTTCAAGAAACTGAGCACTGCTGTGACTAGATACTTTGCAGATTAGGTTTTGAACTCCTTATAACACACATCATTCTAACGGTCATTAAGGAAGCACATTTTGAAGGTATTCTGTGTGAGGACGCTATTGATGTTTGAATAAAGTGTGAGGTTATAATGATCTCTGGAACACTAATGTGAAATGATGCATACATAATGCATTAAACAAGTTGGTCAGTGTGAGTCCAGTAGATCGTCACATAAGCTACAGATAGCCAGTGGGGAGATGGTTAAAGCATTAAAGACTCTGTCAAATGTGTTGTCTGTCTTTGTCTTTAAGCCACAGAACTCCTAGTGAGATGGCAAAGGATGAAACATTAGTGTAAAAACTATTAAACCACTGAACAGACCAGCTGGCCATTAAGGACATTAAACCTTCTGGTGAACTGAAAGATCATCTTGCTAGTGTCTACTTTTCCTTGCTAGTATGTGCTTTTCCTTTGCATTTTGTTTTTCATTTTCTGTTCTGTTTTTCCTTCTGTGTGTCCATTTCTGGATGTAATTTGATTTGCATTGACTTTGTCCACTGCTTCGGATCCCAAGGAAGGTCATGTCTATTTGTCCAACATTTATCAAATGCAAAATAGCTTGACATCTGTTACCCACATTGTTATTAACACACTTTGGTTCACAACAACATAGCATAAAAATGGCTAGATAACTTAGATATTTGCTGTGGATATGCAAAGGATTAATACCAATCTTGTTGGTGACCCCTGTAACCTTTTCTTTAATGCCACTATCAGGCCAAAATCTCCATTATAACAAAGGAAACATAAAATGTAAAAGGACAGGTAATACTTTAAAAAAATCCTTTATTTGATAGGACGGGATAGTGAAAGGAAAGAGGGAGAGAGATAGGGTGCGACACGCAGCAAAGGGCCACAGGCTGGATTCAAACCCAGGCCACTGCATTAAGGACTCAGCCTTGTACGTTGGGCACACGCTCTACTAACTGAGCTAACTGCACCCCATGGACAGGTAATAATTGACTAACCCATTAACGTGCTCCTATTGGCATAACTGGATTTATGTTCATCTTATTGTGTAGCACAATAGCGAAGCCACATGATGGAGCCACATATGTGCACTGTATATCCTGGTAGTTTCTCAAAACCAAGAATGCAAAGAACAGACTTTCTTGCTGATCGTTCTTGGAAGAATGAACTTGCAATGTCACAAGCACACAGAATGCTGTTGACAGTTTAAGACGATGTGTTTTTGCTAGTATAGCGCAAAATCAGCAATAAAATTATGACCCCTGACAGATGAAGTGAAAAACAGTGAAAATCTTGTGACCATGCTACCTGTCAGTGGATTGGATATATTAGGCAATAAGTGAACATTGTGTGGGGTGGTGATGGGGCAGTGGATAAGACACATGCCTTTGGTGTGAGAGACCCGTTTCAATTACCCTCTGTGACACATCCACCAATGTGTCCCTGCTCCAGAGTCGTGCGACCTCTGACATACTTAGCAATTGTAAGTCGCTTTGGATAAAAAGCGTCAGCTAAATAAATAAACGCAGACCAGTCAGAGAGCCCATGCTTACCCCTGTCCACTGCTGAAACGCCTCTAATGGGCATGTGAGCATCAGAACTCACCTGGTCTGATGAACCATGTTTTCTTTTACATCGCATGGATGGCCGGTTGCATGTGCGTTGCTTACCTGGGGAACACATCGCACCAGTATGCACTATGAGGCAGTGTGATGCTTTCGGCAATGTTATGCTGGGAAACCTTGGGTCCTGCTATTGATGTGGAGGTTACTTTGACATGTACCACCCACCTAAGCATTGTTGCAGAGCATGTACACCCTTTCATTGAAATGGTATTCCCTGATGTCAGTGGCCTCTTTCGTCGAAACTGCCAATATTAAAAATCTACACAGTTGATTTCTCGCCTCAAAATGTCTCAGAACTGGATTAAGTGATGAAGTAACATGAAAATAGTAAATGTTGGGCTCTCTCTATGCTGCTTTCTGCCCCTCACTTGAATGCTGAAATGAATGGTGGGATATCTGTGCTGTCAGGTTTACACAAGTTACCAACCAATGCATCCTCAGTAAAATGGTCGTGTCAAGAACGCTTCCCAGAATTTTAACCTTTGTTAGGGAAACGTGGACTACAAAAGATGACGTCACCAGTCATTACAGTATATTTAATAACTCTTGTGTCTTGACTGAAAGAACTACAGATGTACATACTAGCTAGTACTGTAAATAAATTCCTGTTGCATCCCAGTCCTGATTTGGATTTCACCTACAGGTCCCATATTGTAGCTGACCTGGTCCTTCACCAAGCGCTAAACTGCAATACATTAAATGTAACATGCTTGATTGCATCTGTGTGTGTGTGTGTGTGTGTGTGTGTGTGTGTGTGCGCTTCTGCTTGGTTCTCTTCACTCCTAAAGTTTGTCCTCACGCAACTTGTGTTCCCACGTGTGTGAGTGTGCGTGTGTTTAGTTGTGTGCTGCGTGAGTGCTTGTTCATGTGTCTCGCAGCGTATTCTTTATGTGCCTGCTCCCGTCTCCACACTCATCCAGCGCCTGTTCGTTTGTTGAGCAGCAAACGCTGGCAGGTCAAATCAGCTTAGACGTGTGCTGGTCGATAAAGTGAAGCGAGCTCGAGGAGCAGCAATAGAGGCTGTCTAGAAGTCTGAACAACACTTCACAGCTCCCCTCGAGATAAAGACAGATAGATCCGCCATACTGTCAGTAGATGTGTTGAATTTCCAGTCTGTGACTGAGGCTAAAACGATAATATGTAGTCCCATTATACATTGTTGAATTAAAAAAATTCATCTTTAAGGTGTTGCTTTTGTGCTGTTTTTTGTCTCGGTGTTATAAGTCCTGACTAGTAGTTCAGTGATAATTGCCACTTCAGTATTCACAGGGTCAATTGGTTTTGCATTTCAAGCAAAGGATAAGCTAACATCTGTCTTTGTGAATTATGCTTATTTTCAAATGTATTATTTTTGAGAGGTCAGGGCTAAATTGCATTCACATTAAACATTGAAGTGATGCTTCACTTTATTGCAAAATTTAGATTGGACTTTTCTGACTCTTCTACAGTAATTACGTGAAAAAGTTACCTTTTGAAGTGCAGTTAAGATGGGTAACAATAAAACTGATTGCTAGGACATGAGGTGTAACTATAAGCAATTATCAATTACACATACTGTCGATGCAATTCCGAGTCCATGAAGTAACCTTCCCGTCATCAACATTTTCTGTCCATTACTGAAAACACCAGCTTTTTCTGGCACTCAACTAACCTTAGAAGGTTCCTGGAATGATTTGATGAACAAAATCATACAACTTAAAGGCCATGAAAACATATTTTCTCTTTCAGGTTCATGAACGCACTACTTTCTTCCAAAGTTAAAACCCCTTTTGTTATTTCACATGAGATATAAGTATATTTGTGTTGTTGTCCTTACTCTTCTTACTCGTTTGAAGTGGGCGCCAATCAGAAGTGAGCAACATCTGATGACAGTTGGTGGTTTGCTAATGTTTTCCAGGCTACTGTCAAATGTTACAGACTAACTTTCGCATTTTGACATTTGACTTTTTGTCAAATGTCATCAAACCAAACCCACACTGTCCTGATGGAGCAGTTTAATTTTGTAGTGTTCAGCTTCTAACAAGAAATAAGTAAGGATATTTTTTCTCTCTTTACCTGTTGTTTATTTTCTCATGAAAGAGAAATACTCAAAGTTTTCAGGGGATGCTTGCTGTCCATCCATGTTTTCTCTTCGTCCTATAAGCTGCACACAAGGCAGATGCAGTTAAATCAAGACCAATCAGCAGTGAAGCAGTAACACCGGTGCCCGTCCTGTAACCTCTCGCTCTCATCTCTTCTACTGATGTGCGTGTGTGTGTCAGGTGTTTCGGGGAGGACACGTGTCTCTCCATCCCAGACATCAAGGCAGTAGTTATGGTCCTGCCGCCCAGTGAACCAAGAATCACCATTACAGGATCTAATCGACTCGTCAGGCCTGCCAGTGACCTGAAGGGCCCGCTGGGTGTGGCGCCCTTCAAAGAGCTTCACATCACCAGCACAGTAATGAAGGGGGACAGCTTCGGTGGATGTGAGTAGAGAGGCGGCCTGTGTTGTTAGGATACTCTCGTCTCATACTAGCCTTGTAGTAATGTTTCAGTTAATGTTACAATTGTGTATTTTTCTGTTAGAGTAGGGTTTCATTCTGAGTGGAAAGTTGTTTACAAACTATCTTTTTCCTTCATGTGCGCTCGATATTTGTTTGTTTTTTAAAAATCATTTAAAAACTATTTGCATACATAACAATTTTTCTGCCATTTGTTGTCCATGTATGCAGTCCACAGACCAGGTGTGCTGGAGGTGATGCATAACCTGGACTATTGTGATGTGCTGGTAATTGGCGAAGAACTGAATCCTGAGAGGGAGAGTCTGGAGATTCATCACAGTGCTTTGTTGGGAAAACACCTAGATGCCACCAACTCCACCTCTGGAATATCAATATATGGTAAGCAGGGCTGACAATCTGATAAGAGGGGTACTGTGTGGTACTAATGCAAGCCGTTTTAACATTTATTCCTTAAAACTTACTAGTCGCTAATTAAAAGCTACTAGTTGTTAGTTACTAGTAACTTTTCCATTAGCTACTAGTAACCATTCCTGTTTTTCTAGTAACAACTGATTAGATACTAGTACTTAATTCTTTCTTACTAGTAACTAGTCCATTAGTTACTAGTAAGTATTTTCAAAGTTAGTAACTAGTTGCAGATTTTTGCCATTGAAATCAATGGGGATCTGCAGTTCACATATCAACTATTCGAATAGTTACTTGTAACTATTTCCACTTTACTAGTATCTATTAATTAGATACTAGTACTTATTCGAATTGTTACTTTTTCCACTTTACTTCTATTTATTATACAATTATACTATTCCATTCTTACTAACAATTAAAATGTTACTATCAACAAGCCATTTTAACCAAAGGAAGAATTCAAATGTTACTAATATGTTGGAATAGTTACTAGTAAATAATGAATAGGTACTATTATCTAAATAATAGATACTATCCATCCATCGCCAGAGAGAACCCACGCGGACACGGGGAGAACATAGAAACTCCACACAGAAAGGCCCACGACCCACGACCTTCTTGCTGTGAGGTGCCAGTGCTAACCACTGAACCACCGTGCCACCCATAATAGATACTAGTAAAATGGAAATAGTTACTAGCAACAAATGTATAGGTGATATGTGAACTGCAGAGCCCCCTTGATTTTAAGGGCAAAAATCTGCAATTAGTTACTAGTAACTAAAAAATAGTTACTAGCAATTAATGGACTAGTTAATTAAGTAATTATTTAATCAATTGTTACTAGTAAAATGGAAAGGGTTACTAGTAGCTAATGGAATAGTTACTATTAACTAATAAATAAGTACTAGTAGCTTTTAAATAGCAACTAGTACGTTTTAAGGAATAAATGTTTGGCATACTAATGCTCAGTAGTGGGAACACATGAAAAAAACCACCTTTCCATCTTAAATATAATCTTAAAAAATATCTCTAAAAATGGCCTGCCCCTGAACATTCAGCTGTGAACATCCCTGAAATAGACTCCTGTCATAACATATTGCAGTTACAAACTGACACACAGTGCTACAAAACATTTTACTGCAGTGTGACACGTTTGTCCTGTGTCTTAAAAGGTGTGGACTCCATGGCCCACTATGAGCAGGCGCTGAGACAGGTGCACTACAGGAACTGGCGACCTGCCACCCTGAGTGAGAGAAGGTTCAGACTCACCTGCTCTGAACTCAACGGACGTTACACCAGCAATGAGTTCAGTTTGGAGGTCAGTTTGATGTCTTTCAACCGCCATATTTCAACTCTTTTTCACTCTCTTCTTCTTTTTCTTACTCCTTTTCTTGATCTGCTTTTAACTTGAGATAGATCTTGATCAGTCTTTTGACCACATTGTCTTGCATTGTGGTTTTGTTTTCTTCTTTTTGTTGTTCACCTGTTATTCCTGAGGATAATGGTCTTTGTCCCGCCTCTGTAGGTCAGTGTTCTTCACCACTCAGCACCTGTGGAACATGTCAATCATATGGCTGCCCAGCCCCAGTACATGAGACCCATCCATCACCCACTCATGATACACACTCTCAACTCACACATGTCAGGTAAGCCACAAAAGCAATTTAACTGCATTCTGTGGTGAAAGTTTGGTGCTGTAAAGATGATGAAGGATGTTTTTATGTTATTCTGTACCAGCTGCTTTTCTGTCACAGCAAGGTGAACTTCAACAGGTATACTAGCAGTCCTTACATGTAAACCTCTATTAGATTTCCTTCCTACATGTTCATCTTAGACCTACTGTACTGTTCCTTACTGCACAGTAGTTGGAGTCAGATCCACTTTTACACTGCAATGGATGATTGTAAAGGACATCTAGATTTGTACGCCTTCGCTTTCTGTTTCAAATAAGCAGTTTAGACAAGATGATTAAACTGGAGATCACTCAGTTGTAAGGCATTGTCTAACTGAGTTGATCTCATAGTAAAATGTGATCATAACTGAAAATAATGATGGTCAAAACAACAAAAATAAGTTATGGGTTGTTGAGCTTTATTTAAGTCTAAGATTGTAGATAAAGAATTACACACAGAAGGGAAGCAGTGTATATCAGAGGGTACCACTGTTACTATAAGGCAGACGTTGGGCACCAACAGTCAGAGATCTACATCCATGTATGTAGAGGTGTACACATAGTTGGTAATCCATGAATATGTATAATTATTTTAACCATTGTTTAAACAAACAGGTCAATTTAGAGCAAAATACTGAAGAAGAAACAAAATGCTAAATGAAACCAGGAATACAATAAAGCAGGCAGCTCAACAGCAAAATATATTATAATATAGAACAATCTTTTGCCTCTCTTCTTATCTTCCAGGAGCAGCACCTCCTGCAGCAACAGTAGTTATTGTGGTTTGTATCGCAGCCCTGGTGGTGATTGTGGTGATCGGCGTGTACAGGATCCATGCCACACATCAGGAAGGGTCCAGGGAAGATGAGGAAGGGGTCAAAGACCCGGAGGAAGACTGGGACAACTCTGCACTCACCATCACTGTCAACCCCATGGAGGTTAGATGGCATTTTTCATTTCAGTTGTATTCCTTCAATATGCTCATCTAAAGACTAGAAGGGCTGGGGGGGATATAAGATGATTTGTCTTAGCTCAGTTGCATTTTTGCCTTTGTAAACATTTTGATTTTGATCTGTGGTGACTTTCCCACTGTGTTTTCTAGAACATACAAGGAGCTCAGGCACTCGATGGAGAGGTAAAAGAAGACGAACGTGAGGAGGAGGAAGAGGATGAAGAACAGGTGGGAGGAATGACAAGTGCTGAGTCAGACAACAGTGATGAAGATGAAGAGGAGGAGGAAGAAGATGAGAGAGAAGAGGTGAAAGAGAGAAAGCAGAAGGGAAAACTAGAGTGGGACAGTTCCTCCATAACATACTGACTCAACATATTAACATAGACAAAGAGTATCAACACTCTTTACATCTCTTTCTCTCTCGCTGTCTCTCTCTACCACGCGCACACGTCATCCTTCATGTTCACTACACCAACATATAGTACCCACACAGAAACAAAATCTCTGATAGAACAATCTGTTGCTGGAAAAAAAAAACACTTTGAATCTTCCCACGTTGTCATTTTTAATGAAATATCTCTCTCTGTTGGTCAAAGTTAGAACTACAGAGTCAGCTGCGGTCCCACAGTGCTATGAAACATTGTATGTACATTATTATTCATATCACAGTCAGTGAAGCAAAATATAAGATGAATATCAAACAAGCACAGTCCTCTCATTATATGTGCAGAATTAGCTGGAGTTTAGCTGAGAAAATTTAATCCAAACTCTGCAACAAACATGAGTCATATCTTAAATATAGCGACACCAATTCACACAAAGATAATGTGGGCTTTTATCCCAACATTTTATATTTGCAATTATGTGTGTCCTCAGATTACTTTTGAACAGATTGTCTGCAAGATGATGGTTATTAACATATTTAGCAGTGAGATGTATCCATACACATATCCATAAGTTAATGTATCCATAACAATTCCTTTGGCCTATATAGTAGGTATAACATAGCTGTACTGTCACTCTGTGTATATCCTCTGTTCTCATCTTTAACTCAAACCAGACACTTTTCTGTCCTTCAAGTATGTTTGATCAGTCACAGTTTTCTCTAATTTCATCACAGTGCTGTGGCTCTGTTGCCTGGACACTAAAAAGAATCCTGCATAAGTTGTCTCTTGAAATAAACATACCACATTTGTCCTGATTGATATACAAAGCAGAATTATGAAGTGTTTAATATCTTCCACCTTTGGTTTCTCAAAAGTATTTTAAAGTTAAAATGAGCACTACTTCATCAGCTAATGAGCTTATGGAAAGAGTTGACTAAAATACTCTTAGAAACAAAAGATCTGGTGGCTTTTTGAAGCCTGTTTGTTTGTTTGCATCCGTCTGTGTACCAAATATATCCATACTGTGGCCTATTGTAGCCTCTGCTCTTTAGGGTTTGATCTTTCTTTTTTCAGCAGATGAAATAATACAGAGGTATTACTGAATGCTCCTGATATCCTGTCTTTCCTTTGTTTTTAATTCCATACTAGAGGGAGCCCTCTATGCAAATATGGGCCAAGTATAAAGGACCAGTACACAGACACATGGGCAGCAGATTTGAAAAGGAATGCAAAATTGCTACAGAGGCAGAGAAATCCTGACTTTAGAGCCTAGATTGGGTCACTAAAAAAGCATCTGTGTCAAAGCTCAGTTCCGTTTATTCCAGCAGAAAATGTTTTACTTCTAGAAGAATTCAGCAGTTACAAGCACATTTTACTGGAAAATTCGGTAAAGTGTGTAACAATAGAAAACACTTCCAGTAGCACAAAATCTCCTCACAGTGGAGACCTGTAGCAGAGCTGACAGGAAGAGGTTTGTTAATGTGACAGGATTCAATACTTCTGCTGACTCATTAGTCAGAATCTTAAAAAAACCCTCTAAACTCTTTCACTTCTCGCTACTCACTCCACAACGTTGTTAGCAAATCCACAAATCATGAGCCATGTATTTGCTTTTTTCGTCACTTGGTGCCGCTGATTAGCAGGTGTAACTGATTACACTATGTAACACAATTTTAGTTCAAAGGGAGTGGTTATTTCCTAATTGTTTATGCTTCAAAAGTATAAAAAATGCTTATTGTTCCCCACAGAATTTGCTTTTGTGACCAGGACAATGATATTTTGAAATGTACTTATTTCCAATGAGAAAATTTGTGTCTTTTGTTCACATAAAGTCAGAAAAAAACAACAGAAATCCAGATAACCCTGGGTTTATACACCGGCTTTGATCTTTGCCTCAGACAGCTTAGGGAAGAAATCTTAAAGGTACTTGAAGGCTGCAGACTCCTTATCTAGAGCTCTGACAAATTGTTCCATAAGGCCCAATTTGATTTGCAGTGGTGGCATCAGCACCTTCCGGAGGTCCACCAGCCTCAAGCCGTGCTACTCCATAGTGGTAACAAGTACCCTCTCTTCCGGTGGCCGCACCTTAAAGAGGATTACAAAAGCTTGCTGGACACCTTGAAGTATGATGAGTACGGCTGGCAGGTCATAGGTGACTTGGAGAAAATGGTGGCATTCCTGATGGGTCTCCAAATTTCCCTGCTAGCTTTGCCTTTGGGACAGCAGGGACACAAAGGCGCACTACCACGGCCGGGTCTGGCCACAGCTGTTATCTGTGGGGAGGAACGCCAAGTGGAAGGTGCTGATGCCACCACTGCCCCATCAAATTGGGCCTTATGAAGTAATTTGGAAATAGGCATATTCAAAATAATTTTCTATACTACTGAGGCATAGGCAATAAGGAAAAAAATGTGTTACACAGTGTGTTATAATTTGGAAACATGGCTCTTAATTCTGGGTTAGCCTGGGGTTAGGGTGCCTAAATCTTTAGGGTAAAATAAGTCTTTATTCTTGTGAAACTGTTTATCTTGCACAAGTCTAATCTGACAGCAAACTGAAGACCTAACACAAACCAGTCTAAACATTTATTTATGAAACCTGGCACAGGTCTTTTTGAGCGCCACACCTCCAGTTTTTAATGCTGGCTTTCTCTTAAAAATGTCTTAATCCAAACAAAGATGACCATGTTCTTATTGACTGAGTAGAGCTCCTTTTGACGAGGAAACTGAACTTGATGTGTAAAATTGGTGGAGTGCCCATTTAAAGTCAGGTGAAGACTCACAGAGCTAAATGCGGGAGAAGAGAAGTAGACTGATTTGTTTGTTTTACTGGAGAATCAAGAACTACAAGCAGAAACGGAAACTTTCTTGATATTTATTCCATCTCGTATTATCGTAATTGCAGTTTAAGCAACCTTCTCAGACAAAATATAATTCCACGACATTGTCTGCATTCAAATGATCTAAAAGTAACTCCAAATCCCTTTTGACATTCCCATTTCTACTATCACCTGTCACCTTTTCATGTCCAGACAGTGTCAGTGACTATTACTCCCTCTGAGCTCTAACTGATACGTCTCCTGTTCACCTCGCCCCCTCCCTCTGTTGGCCTTTAAGCACCTGTGATTGTGATGTCATCATTGTGAAACAACTGCCTTGTTTCCCTCGTCCCCCTTTGTCATATTGTGCTTCTGAAATATTAAAGAGAAAAAGATTCTTTTACATATAAAAAACAAACCCTGTAAAAATGTTCAAGACAGTTATTTTATATATCTGTTTCTTTTTCTTTTTGTAAACAAAATGGTTGGGATTTCTCTCTCTTTAGTGGTCATCCCACTGCTTTCTGTATATTGACCAATAAAGACTTGTTTTAGACTCTACACAACTTTCTTTCTTGTTTTGTGCACTTGAGGTCTGACCTGTGTGTGTGTGTGTGTGTGTGTATTGGCATATTACATAATTAATAAGCTGTCTATATAGATGTTGGAAAGCTGCCTGAATTTATCACATGCAAGCAAGCTGACTGGGTGTTTCATTTGTTTACATAATAAGCTTACATAGACAGAGGGGGTGTTATTTACATGACATTACTGAATTTGTTCAGAGGGGAAATGCATTGTAATGCATGAGCCACATTATGTGCCACAGGACAAAGAAAGGATAGAATTTTTTTGTCTCCAAATACATTGATTTAAGTGGATCGTACATTTGTCACTGTACCACAATATAGACATCTTCAATAGAGCCCTTGATGCCAAAGAGAGTTAAAGCTTTCTTGAAATCAATAAAACAAGTGAATATCATACCTTTTTACGTTTGTTGTACATGCTTGTTAATTAAAGAATAATTTACCCAGACTGCTGACACAGATGTGGCAGTTCCTACGGTCTGATTTGTCTCCACTCTAATGATTGATTTATGAATGTGGAGGATATGAGCCCTTTGCATCGTGTTGAAGAAATATTGTGAGCCCGCTGTTTGGTGTGAGGAAGAAGGTTTTCGGACACTGATAAAGACTTGGACAGGAAAGTTTAATGAGACTTGGCCAAGGAGAAACTGTGTCAGCATCCAACGTGTGAACACATGCAATGCCATCACCAAATCTGAAGGATGACATCTTTTGGTCCCTTTTATGTTTCTGTATTTCCCTGTAGTAGCCTATCTGTAGGTTTTCCTCTTAGGTCACCTTCAACTTGCATTAACCTGAACAACTAATCTGTCTGATGTGGCACACATTTACTGATGTAACATTTTGCAACAATGTGGTGAACAGGGCAATAACAGGGTTTCCGCAGGGTCTTAAAAAGTCTTAAATTTCAAAATCAAAATTTAAGACCTTAAAAAGTCTTAAAATCGCTGAAGTTTGTGCTCTAGGTCTTAAATGATTTTGAACAGGTTTTAATTTTCCAACATCCATGTAATGCTACCTCTACTGCTCAGTGAAATACTCCCACAGCGCTTTAGAATGTACTGCCCTGTGAGAACATGCTTTGCACCTGCCTCAACTTCTCCCCTTAGGCTACTCACTCACACACACCTTTACCTCTGGTCTCTCAATGCAAACACACAGGCTTTCCCCGCCTCTCCCCTGAGTTTCTCCATCAGCAGTAGGTTATGTTTTATAAAGTTGCTGAAAAGACACTCACCCATGATCCTTTTTCACAGCCGCAGGTGCACCACATGCCAGCTTGTTAATTACGTTAATTATCAATGTGTTTCATACTTGAATGAAACACCCAATTTTGTAAAAATCACTCAACCCTAATTTGAATACATTTATTTACTCTGCGAGAGATTTTGTGACTGCATTTCCTTTGTATGTTTCTTTTTTTTTTCATGCCGTGATATAGGTCTTCAATTTCATTCATTGTAGTCTTAAAAAGGTCTTAAAAAGTCTTAAATTTGACAAGGTGAAACCTGCAGAAACCCTGCAGAAAGTAAACAATACTCCACTGTGGGTGTGTAGATCATTTATTAGGGTGAAGTGGCTGCCCTGAGGGAAATGACAAAGGTGGTGAGGTCTGACACAAACAAATGCAATAATTTGATGATAATATGATTGTTTGGAGGAGGATGAGAGCTTTAATAGGAGTCAATGATGGGGGAGATAACAAGCCTCATTTTAAAATGCATCAGTGAAGATCAATCCTCAGTGGCAAGAAAATAGCCAACTTGAATGGAGATAATAATTCCTGGTACCTGTTTTGGGAAATTATATCAATTTAATCTCTGTGTGTTTAGTACAGAGATACCATCCAACAGGGTCCAACTGAATTGTGAATTACTGACCCCTGCTGGTGGAAGGATTAATTAAAAGTTGATTGACTAAGTTTAATACATTTAGACAAAAACTCCCAAAAAAGAATGTCGTAAATATTAAGCATCTATTTATCTGAAATCAGAAAAGAAAAACTCTTCTTTGTCCATCAAATGTGGCTGCCAGTTTAGATTAAGACAGCTATCCTGCAATGTCTTAGCATCACCTTTTATATTTATCTAATTGTTTTGAAGGCAGAATGTGTTCAGGCGTGTGTGAAGTCACAAAACACTAACTCTGACCTGAGGGTCTTCATGTCTTCTATTTTGTTCCAGAGAACATATTGTGTAGTGTTCGAGCAGTCTTGGTCTCGAGACTGGTCTTAAGATTACTTTTTGATGGTCTCTGTCTTGTCTTTAACACGACCGCATTTGTACTCGGTCTTGTCTCGGACAATGATTGCTCTGGATTTTATTTCAAGACCAGTCAAGACCATAACTTTGGGAATATCAATAAATTGCTTTTGCATTGTCTGATTTATTTGTTAACATCCCAAATTTGATCGAATGTAAAACTTATTGCTTCAAATGCAACCAACAACCCTAATAAAAAATGTGTTGTTCCCGTTAACGACTGTCACCCCTCCCTGCAATGGTAAACATGGAAAAGGAGTGTTGAATAAAGATGTTTAAGTTGATTTCAGCTCTTAGTGTTTGAATGTAGGTGTTTTACATTTACATTCTACATTTATTTATGTTGACTGTATGTTTGTCTGCGTGTAGCAACTTATCACCACAGCAAATTCCTCGTATGTGTAAAACACTACTTGGCAATAAAGCTCCTTCAGA